GCGTGCTTGTTGAATTTTTTTGTCATGAAACATTGGTGAAGTCAGTGTGCACGTAAGATTCCAAGGACGCTTTGTGGAAAGCACAGGTGAGAGGATAACAAGATGATAACAGTGTTTTTGAATGTTACAGACTTAGGTTCAATTTTGTACATGCCAAAGAGGATGCAAGTTAATATGGTGTCTGTTTTCTTTTGAACAAACAAATAGTTAGAGTAGTTTGTGATAGTTAGACAATGATTATATTTTTGATATCATTAACCTGATTAATTTGACACACAAATGCACTTAATTATTTAATTTCTTTTTTTGATAATACGTCACATTTTCCAAGTAGCATAGTTGCACCCTGTTTACTGACTTAAGTTTACTTTTATTTCCTAGAATATCCAAATCTCTAATGTGCAATTGGTACTCTTATTATCGTTGTGCTTTAATAAAATTGTAATAAGTGATTTTTGACGAGGAACTTTATCAATATTTAAAAATCCCTGAAGTATATGTAATTTTCTGAGTAGAGACAAAGTCTAATTTGTCAAATTGTCTCATATAACAACTTGTTGCCATCCTATCTAGCTATGTGACAGATTCAAAGGATAATCTTCTAAATGAATCTTCCATCTAATGTACATTTTTTAATTCGCAAAATTTTGTCCCTTGTTATCATTTCTAGTTTGTGAATGCATATTATTAAATAACACAAGTTTCAGATTTCACCTTAGAGTCGTCTATTTGTATCTGAACCAGTTGCAATCTTAAGAGTAAAAGGTGTCATTTGCCGAGCTTTTAATTGTGTAATATTTCAACAGTAATATTAGCCGCAAAAAAAATATTTAACTAATTTAGCAGTCAGGTGAGGTTAATTCGTTCATTTGAAAGCAGTGGTTTTTTTATTTGATAATGTTTAGTCCAGAAGCAAAAGAAGCCGTAATTAAAATTGTATAAATGACCTTCTAGACCCTTGGTTAAAATTAGGTTATGTTTATTCTGAAATTACCGCGGTTAGGGAAGTCCTTCCAAATTTATGGCTCATGTAATGAACAGATTAACGTGAAATGTTTAAAATGGCACTAAAAAAGCTCGAATTTATTCTTACCTGACCTATTCAACCAGTGTGACGAAGAGATTGACTTGAGAAATATTTCGTGTTGTCATGTTGCTAAATGGTTCAAGTCCGAAATAATTTCATTAATGGCAGTGATTGTAGTTTAAGCCACAGTTATTTATATTTAAGTGCCATGGCCCAAGAGGATATGAAAATTTGTCAATTTTTGAATAATGGATGAATCTCATCATATTAATGAAATCTCGGCATATTAATTACCAATCAAATTATTTATCGCTTAAGTTCGTCGTGTCTTAAATGCCTGTGACCTTGGAATGTGCGGCTGTATTAATATTCGTGCTCAGTTTTTAATTCGTCGGTGCGCTGATGTTAATAGATTAAATTGATGGGAAATACCTCACGCGCTCCATTATTTCTGATACGAAGGCTTTGATCTATTGATGAGTAACATAAACAATGATGGCACAAGTCGGAAAGTCCTTTCGAAGCGATTCTCATCTTTTGAACAACTATCTCCTAATGAAAGTATAAGTTTGGCGAGTCGTCCAATTTTTGGGGTAAATTCCAATATTTCTGACAAGACTTTTGTGGGTTTCTTATTTCACGGTTTTCACAGACTTCGACCAATTTAATTCCTGGGACTCGCTCGTCAGATGAGAAAGGTAAAAAATCATGTCTTCATCGCTTAGTTGCTTCGCGTTAATAAACGTTTCATTTTGTATAAGATACACTTTGTACGTCTTTATGCTTTATAAATGCCGTCAGCGTCGGTACGGTTTTTCTTTCAGAGAATGAACACCCGTTCAAATGCCCTCGACGATTTCCACCTGAGTCAGGACCGGGGCATTTCAAGTTATCTGCACGCACTTCATCTGAGGTGAACTGTCTGGATTGTACAAAATTTTCAAGCTATCAATCAAATCCTTCGAAGGCGGCAATTACCTCTCGAAATATCCTTAATCACTCGACAGCAATCCTACCCGTAACCAAACCATCTACCGGGGGAATTAAAAATGCTGCTTGCTCTAACATCACTCAAATCAATATTTGCAGGGCTGCTTCTTCTAAATCAAAATCTGTGGTAAACAACGAACTCTTTTTTTCATTTTTGCGTTTTGGGATTAAGACTTCATAGGCCGACAAGTTGCCGCCCGTATCTAGGTGCACTAATGTTGTTTGATTGGGTTTTCGCGCAGTAAACATCCGAACTGAGGTGTTAAAAGTTATGTGAGCGTTGCTATGTTTTTTCTGTAAGTGGGGTTTTATAGTTCTTCCTTGCCTCATGGTATGGTATTTTTGCCTGCTTTTAGATCGCGTTCGATGTCGTTCGCGCCATATTCACCAAAAAGATAAGCCTCGAAGCTTTTTTAAAAGAGTTCAAGTACTCCGATTGCCCCTCGACTACAGTGGGAGGACCTGCTTGGCGTAGGGGCCCTGTCGATTACCTGATCCGATTACTGGCTTACGAGCAAATGAAAGAGAAAAAGGTTTATTTGGTGGCCATAATTTGTCACTACTTAATCCTAGTAATAGTGGTCATATTTTTGTCGTGGTATTTTATTGTTACCTTGATCTAGATTTTGTAACTTACCGGCTTAAGTTTGCATAGGGCGAACTTGCCGTCCAAAGCAGAGCCGGGCAGGTCTGTTTCGATTTTAACAGTTGGCGCCCTTATGCGGCTCCTAGAAGCATTACATGGGCTACTTGCAATTTTTTCATGTAATTTGCAATATAATTATATGGCCTTTATTACATGAACAGGCTAATACCGATTCAGATACTGCCATTAATGGTTTTAGTGATCCTACCTGCGCAATACTGACCATTATTGTCGACATAAAAACACGCGGGTGATGGTGTATTGCTGTGTGCTGTAACATATTTCGAACTATTCTGACCAATTTGTATGCTTCCCCAAAAATGACTTCCTCCTGACGCATTCAAGTGTCACAAATTTGTTGGTGGTTGGTATGAAATTTCTTTTTGACCTTTACTTGAGGATTTTCTTCTCGTTCACAGGCCTGCTTCCGCGTCAGTGACTTTATTCGGCGTCAAAAGCAGCCATTATCACTCGATATGATCATCACATTGGCTGATTGGATGGTAGAAGTCCACGAACATTTTCGGTATTGCACCGGTACCTTTCATCTAGCCTGGAGCCTTCTTTATTCGTTTTTCGACAAGAGCACTCCAATATCGAGGTACGTATGGTTTTTCTATGAGATTAAAATACTGTTTGGGTGACAGATTGAATTAGATGAAGTACGTTAGTCTTCTTTCGGTATTTTCTATTTCTGTCTTGCTTAATGCGAAGTTTCCATCGATATATGACATACAATAAGTTCAATTCATTGATAAATTTAACAAAAATGCCTTTATTGTCCGTTAACATTGCCAAAGGCCAGGTTGTGACAGAGCGTGAGGACGGACATTGAGTCTATGCGGTAGTGTTTAGTTACCAAGCGACTCACTTTTTTTCCGTTCTCTTGAATGTGCACTCGTGTGCGACCATTTTCGGTTGGCCGACTGTCGCGATGTGGTAGGAGCGTCTTATATCACAACACTCCGAGTCCCTGGTGGGTCAGTTGTCCTCTGTTTGACATTGCAGGAGTCAAATACAGTTGTATGCTTGTGCGGCGATTCTGGTGGCATGTAAGCAAGAAGAGCACTGGATACCAACCATGGCAGAGCTCCGCTACCTCACAAACAACGCCTATACCTGCCGTCAATTTGTGGAGGCTGAACTCCACTTCCTCATGTCTATCGACTTTAATGTTCATCGACCGAATCCGTACTTCTTCTTGCAGCGGTATTATCGGGTGAGGACATGTATTCCAAGCGGAATTCCTAATAATCATTTTCGAGAAAATTTACCCCGGTTTTCGGCTAACCTTCCAGTCATCTACCCATCTGATTACTTCTTTCAATTGTTTATACGTTCCTCTATGAAATTAGTGCCCCAGTTTCCCGTCTGACTAAATCACAGGTACTGAGACCTGATCGGTGGCATTTCACAATACTTACATCTAGTTTACTGTTATTATCTGTTTAAAGTCCTGTAATCTCAAATTTCATTGTCTGATTGTTTTATCTGTCGCAGAACTGACAGGGCAATATTAGGTCAGATGGAATCAATCAATGCCTTCCATTGTCCTGCCAGTGGAAACAAATGGTTCATGTCATCCTTTTAACTTGTACCAGGATGTAGGAGTCCGTGGGGCATATCAAGTCATCTATTAGAGCTTGCTCACGCCCCACTGTAGACAATTAGTTATGATCTACGTAAAACGCTAGGTTTCGACTGCTTCCCTAAAAACACTTCATTTCGTCCGGTTTACTTGGCTTCACTGTACCTTTCGGCGCCGCTTACTCACTTGGCCGCCTTTCGCCTCATGTCCGCAGGTACTGGACTGGAGGAGCGCGTCGGTGCAGCGCATGTGTCGTTTCCTGCTGGACGCGGGCACGCACAGCCACGCGGTGAGCAAGGCGCGAGAGTCGAAGAAGGCCGCGGCGGCACTCTGGCTTGCTCGACGCGTCCTCTGCAACCCCTCCTACGCCCTGTGGCGTCGGCGGCCTGAGATTGTCCGCCTCCGCCGCCTGATTCGCTCCGACCCACGCCTCAAGCGGTTCTACGTGTTGTGTGGCAGCACCTCCGACCAGAGGTCAGCACTAGCCGATGTCACTGACTAAGGCAAAGCCGATTCCGAAAAGCAGCAAACCGAATATTCCGTCTAAAGTTCTTAAGGAGTCATGTCGCTTTGCAGTTGGGTGAAACCTGTTATTAGCCGAGAAACACTTAGGGCAGGAATGGTGCCAGCTCTTTGTAGGGGCACCCTTGGTAAAAATGATGGCATGCTCATGGGCTTGAGCTTCGAGCCAACGAATATGCCACAATTCCTGGTTAATATGGGCTCTCGAAATGTTTTTTATCTGGTCGTCATCTTTCCCTACAAATGTTATCTTCTGATCACCGCCAAGGTTTGTGCGTTCCACCCCTCTCCCATCCTTTAGCGTTCCCCGTCATTGAGTTTTGAGTGGCCGTCTCACCAATTGCTTCTTGGTTCGTCATGCACAAAACTGGCTCGCACATTGTTCTTGTTATCAGAAATGTCGAGTCATCACCTCAAGCTTCTAGTTCTCCAGCAACTGGGAAATTATTGTTGCTTATTATTTGTGCATTAATTAGCTTCAAAAACCCATGACTAAACTGTTTATTATGCCATATTTCGTTACTACTATTGTTAGACTTCTTAAATCCGACTGAGGTCATTATTCGTCCAGACATGCGTTTCAATAGTCAAATGATTGGATGCATTTTGGGAGTTAAATTACACTCCCTTGCACCGTCTTGTGTAATAGCCTGCAAATCCAGGAGGGCCTTGACTCAGAAATGTGTGAAAGCATTCGCCTCCTGCGTGAGACAGAGGAGCAGCGGTATCCCTTGTGGCCACCTCTTCTCGAGCACGTTACGGGCTATGAGGAGAAGGAACTGATTCCTCTGGCTCTGCAATACCACCGCATCACCATCCAACTGCTCGCTGAGGTGGCTCGCGGAGGGCAGCTGGAGGAAGAGAAGGCTGCCATTCAACGGGCCCTTAAGCCCCGATTCCCCGGTTCAGCGTCTTTGGACCGTCGACGCCGGCGTTTTTCACAATCACTGCCGCAGTGTCATACTTTACCTTCCATCTCTCCTGGTGGACACCATCTTAGACGCCAGCTGATCTCTAAATACTGCAAAGAGTATGTTTGATTACTCCTAATAGACCTTATCCGCCTGTCGTGTTTAAACTCTCTCCTGCCAGCTTCTGTTGAAAACTGGCTTCATTTGATGAATCCAAATATTCGAGGTTTTGAGAATTTAAAATCGCCACCGGTATGGAGAAATCATTGTCTTTTATACTTGTAAAACAGTAGTAACCAATGTCCAAAACACGAACTATGATGCTTGCTGTTTACTATGATGCTTCTGTTTACTTGTTAACTTAAGGCGCTACTCGAGTGTGGCCGACGCGTACCCCCAGAAATCGTATGAAAATCTCATCCCCTACTTCCCTGAGATCCGGTGTCCGGATATATGCCGCTGCTTTGTGTGCGTGAACCTCCTCAATCCCAAAGCCCACGTCCGCCGAGGCAGTCTGTGAGATCGACCCACCTGACGCGCTTTCATGAACCCCTTTTGTCCTCGGTGTCGCATCCAAGCCACCGTTCTCTATTCTCGGTGTTTTTCTTTGTTCAATTCTGCGTGTCCATATGCATCTGCATGCTCACTAAGTGTCTATTTTTATGTGTGATCAATTTACACCAGCTCTTTCAATTCACCAGCCCGATTGGCCGACGCGGGATCGATGTGAGGCTGTTTCAATTTGTTTTTATTTTGCTCGACTCCTGGCGCTGTGGTGTGCTGTAATCTAGGAGTATTTAATTTCCAACCACAAGCCCTTGGGCTTGCTTGGTTGCCGGCGTGGATGTCATTCCTTACGGTGCCTGCATTTATGTGTTGTAAACCTATACGATTACGTATTTGTTGCCAATCAATGTATTTTCACCTCGATTGCGAATAAACTCCATTTATTCCCTACATCCGTGCTTGTCATCCCTTTATTTCCACATGGTCTCAGGGGTTGTACTTGCTTCATTCTTGGACTGAGTAATGGGCTGCCCTATGTAAGGCCGCGTTCTGGAATCGCATCGCTTGACGTAAGTAGTGCCTGTGTCAGTGATTTGTCACATCTCACCTTATTCACATGGCTTGTTCAACTGCGTGTGCTCTGATGGGGGTCTTCCACTAGGTTTTTGGACTCCCAAGTCTGCCTCTTCTCCAAAACCTGGGTCATAATCGCCGTGCCAGCTGTTGGCAACCCAGGGCGTGGTGGTCGTTGGGTCCCGCGCACCAACGTTTGGTGAAATTGGCTGCCGTGCCAAATTTGGTTGTTGTAGTCGTCTAGGTTTCGCTGATTAATGCGGGCTCTCGACTTGCGTCGGGTTTATGCGTGTGCCAAGGGGAGCGGACTGTTCCACCCCTCTTGTCGTCTGCGCATCAAAGCGTCCACCGCGGGGACGGCTCCCATTAGGCTCTCACGTGCCAAAATGCTCGTCCCAAAGGTGAGGGCAGACTTTATCTCAGCTAGATTCCTAATTTGTCAAACATGGGCAAATCAGGGCGCCTGAGGACACGGTGCTGGCCTTCGCCACGCGCTTGTTCAAACGGGGTTTAGCACATCAACACGGAGCCTGGGATTTTACGGGTCACTTTATACGACTGCAGTCTTAACCTCAAAGCGAAATTGAGGCTACGGATATGGGCGTGTTTAAGCAGTGTTAGAACGACCTGATCATTGGGAAATATGCCACTGAGTGCAATATCAATGTAGCCACGTGTAAGAAAATTAATCCCGTGCAGCTTGAAGTTATTGTGGGCCCCAGCAAGTGGTTTTGAAGCGCGTTAGGGCCACTGAATTAATCCTGGCCTGATTACGCTTCCTGATACCCTCAATGAAGAAGAAGGAGAGAACGTGGACACAACCGTTTACTCCAGAGCTCAACGACTTTGGTGTCGTTGTGTCGTGTGTGGGACTAGCGCGTGTGCATTATAACTCAGGTGCGCGAGTCATAGATGCATTAACACCGGGACCTAGGTATGAGGGTAATCCGAGATAAATATTCGTGCAAATGAGGGGGAGTTGAGGATCCGCGCGGCTGACGACATGCTGCGAAAAGGGGAACCCTCTGTCGGAGGATGGAGCGACCGGACTAAGGGGTGTGAATAAACACGATTCACAACAAAGTTTATAGATGCAGGCTAGCTGGACAATTGGGAGTTCAGTAAATCCAGATAATTCACCAGATTGTTCCCTTTTTAAAAATTAGATGGTTTCGTCACTAAGGCATCAGCTAACTCTTGACATCAATTTGAAGGGCTGGCATGCTACACGCGGTGCCATCGAGGTGAAAGCCACTATTCTAGACATCACATCTCGTTGCAAGAACAGTCGTATTTGACGGACGATGCGTTGAATGATCTGTAAGAAAATCTGAAGAGTTTGACCTAATGAAGCGTGGCAGAAGAAGAGTCCGGGATCGTCATCACAAGCAGGAAAAGTTGACGACTGCACCCTACAAGGATTTAAAACGAGAGTCTAGCTGGCTCGCTTTCAGGAAAGACAAAAATATCATTAGTTGGAAAGTAATTTAATTATATTTATCGTGAACGAGTAGATGAAAGTGGTGTTTGTCTGGTTTTACCAAGCAAGACTTTATTTTTTTCACGTGACTTTTTACTTGATAAGTCCCTCCTTTGAAATAACGATGGTACAAAGACGATCAGCTCTTTTTTGGTGATTTTCATTCATTTAACACTTCTAATTTAGATGGCGTATAAAACTAGCTTTTCCCAAAAACGGGGCTTATCAAATGACCTTGTCCCAAAGCTTGGGTCTCAGTTGAGAGTACCAGCTGACCTCGCGCGGCACTGCCAGGTAAACAGTAGAATGTGAATACCGTCTAGAAACCAAAATTCATCTATTTATAAGTCCTATTTGACAGCTGTCATGAGCTGGAGTCACACGGTACTGTTTTGGGGGCATAAAGTGTCTCCTCGCTGCCACCTCCTCACATTTCCACCAGACGGCACTGTTTCCCTTGATTGTGGAGGTCCTCACTGAAGTATTTTAGGCCGCGACGTCTCCTGCAGTTTTTGGGAAGTGTTCAACCTAGCCTATTATTGTTTCACTTTGAAATTAATTCATTGTCAGTGGTGTTTTAAAAAGGCGCAATTATAGTGTTATTTGTTACAATAAAATTCAAGTAGAACAGGTTTAAGTTAACGTGGTCTTTCCAGCACAGACCAACCTAAATTAGGACCTTAAGGGCTTTTGTTTTTAGGCCAAAAACGAGCCCTCTTGACACAGAAATCGATTTTTACTAGCATGATGTGCCATTTGTTATTTAGTATCGACCTCCAAAAGTCCAAGCCATCTGTCGTTTAATGTCGATGCAAAAACGTGAATTATTGTGCTTCTGCGTCTTCAAGCATTTTTTCCAGAATGTCCAAAACAGATTCCTATCAAATAGTCCCTATCAAGGTTGTTCATGAGCACAACAAGAAAAACTTCGATAACTGTGCATTTTCTCGATATTGATAATATTTTCTTGTCGATTACTTGTACAGAAAGACCTAATATGAATCAAATTAATTCCATGCCATTCACACGTGATCACAGTTAGCCTCATCTCACTCAGGCTATTACCGTTCCACCTACTGACCCTAACTCAGGCGATCACAAATATTGGAATTTGTTCGTCGAGTGTGACTCGCTCTCTGACTCGTTTTGTCCTTGTAAATAACCGTTTGCCTTAATACAGACGCATGAGAAAACTACAACTTGCGATTAAGTAATTACACATTCCTTTCCTCTATCCAGTCTTATGGCTGACCTCTGAGTTCTGCAGTTTGAGCTGAGGCTGCCTCAAAATTTTGAGCCTTATTACGGCAGGCTTTAGTGGTCATACCTTTTAATATGGTACCAAGCCTTGAATCCAAGTAAAAAGCTTTTGATCTTGTCATAACGAAGGTAAATGGTACCACTTAATGTTGTTAGCTAAACAATGAGCATATCATCTGCCCATTAGTTGCCGTGTCGATGCAGGTGAATCAACAACGATCGCTCAAGGGCGTGAATCGTAGACGCTCACACCACCAGGTCCACAAGCTCATTTGCAGAGTCATGAGGCTCGTGTTGCTATCCCAACCGCTGCCTCTTACTGCACCTCCCCTGAGTTGATGTGTTCTACATCGACGCCTAGTAGCATCAAAAGGCCAAACAACTAGGTAATGTGTTCCACTTACAGAACCACTGAAAATGCCCAGCTCCAAATACTGCTAATTAAAAAAATATCGACACATTAACCCTAATGAGGTAATTTAGTACTTCATTTATATTCCACAAACAGTGTCTACTGTCTTAAACACTTACCTAAATTATCCCAAGATTCACGCAAATAGCCGTTAAAGTATAGGAGGCATGTTGCAGCCACGAGAAACATTTTAACCTAATTCGTTGTCAAAATACCGTGTGATGACGTACTACACGATGGCCGTCCGGTTTGACATTTTTTTGCAAACACAGCTAATCGGGATAAGAAAAACAATCCAGGGAAGGCATATTGTTTGGCAGGAAGTACGACCATGCATGATTCACTCAGATTTAACTAAACGAATTCATACCCCTAAATGTCGGCTGACAAAAATTAACTCAGGTGGATAATGCGAGCAATTGCCTTGGGTGGTGGATTCGGTCAGTGACGTGGTAGATGATGGCGCTGTGTGCTTGGTGTTCTGTTCACGGATTACCATAAAGTACCCTCAAAGTGACTAATAAGTTATGTACCTCGAATAGATAGAAATACGTATGAATTTCTACTAGATTGTAGTCCCATTGAATGAAAAATCCATTGGTTCAGTGAAATGACAAGCAGGACTTTTAGGCGAGAGAGGTACCTGTTGGCTCCTAACTCATAACAATCATTACTGTTATCCTCCACTTAATATACTCCCATTTTAAATCAAGTATAACCGTAATGTTCATGATGCCTATTGGTTTTAACCCTACCGACGGTCTGCTACAAAGCCTACCTGCTACAATATATAATTTACAACAACAAGAGGCATAATTCCTTGTAAAATACACACAGGGCTTGCGCGACAAGGATAAGCTGTTTCATGGATGTTGAATACATTACCATTAACACCTGTCGACCAATCCCCGAGGAAACAGTGTTTGACAATCGACAACCACACATTCAGTGGGTACATACACTCAGACAAAACCACAGGTGTCTCGTTGATTCGTAATACGATGCCTGTTGGTATCCTGTGTGCGCGCATCCTGTCGGCTAATGCTGACAACAACCAGCATCCACAGCCGCCACGAGTGTGCCCACTCCACCGCGCACACATCTACTTTCGTCGTGGTAGCACAACCTCCACGAGATGGCTCATCACTTCTGCTCTCCCTCTTCACCTCTCTCCAGTGGCACCACGATGCTCACGGTTTGTCGTGATGCCCTCGTCAAAGTCATTGCAATCGACCATGCAAAGGCGGATTTGATTAATCTATTTGATTTACTGCTCTGTCTCGGTGTAGACATTCGGTTGACCAAACTCATGGCATCCCACATCGAGGCGTGTTCGTTGTCCTGATTCCTTGACGGATGTGAGGTGTACTTTTCAGACGCTTTCTTGGCCGGTTTCGCACATCCCCCTTTCCGATGTGGTCTCCAGTGGTGCCAGTGTACTCGTGATCTGTTGCTGATGTTTGGTTTGCAAGCACCCCAGAGCTATACCACTAAGGTCGTTTGGAGAAGCACCTGTGGCTTTTACAAGATTGTCTTCCGTTCATTGCCGCTGTGTGTCCTTCTTTCAGTTGAGTTATGCGCTGGAAATGGTTGTGGTGTAGGTGACAGCGCTAGACAGTAGCACCTTGAAGCATCACGCTAAGCTTGGACTCCCGTCATGTAGCAACTACCGACGTGCAGGGTAGCAACTTCACCCCAATGCGTTCCGTTATTTTCAAATCGTCGTGTACATACTAGGGTGCGTGTTGATTTCTCAATACTCTGTTTTTACAATGGAAAAAATGGCAATTTCTTTTTTCAGAATCAAAAATGTGCTATTTTTATTGGATTGTAGTGATACTCTTTCCCACCATTAGCATATAACTGTGGCACATTGTTTTTTTTATTTTTACTTCAAATACCAATTGGGCGTCCAATTTTGATGCCCTCCGGGTGCCGCGCTACATTTGAGTGGTTCTACCCCATGCGCTTCGTGGAGTTTGTGGTCGTTTCCTAAATTAGCCGTGTATGAGACAGCTCGAAGGAACACGTGATTTAACCGTCGTATGGCAACTTGGCAGGCGTTGCACCTCTTCTCTGTTGGCTGTTAAACACACTGCTGACACACCCTTTGGGCTGTAGAGAGGTGACGCGTGAATTCGTGATGGCTCACATTGCAGGGGTTTTGGACGAAAATTGGGCCCTAAGTAATGCCAGGAGGTTTCGTATCGTTTCCGGACGTGTTGGCCTTGATGACACTTATCAATTAGCGTTTCTGTTGGCAGTTTTGCTGGTGGACTACCTCCAACGGTCAAACTAGAGTTGTGCGAACTTTTAATCGAATGAATGGTCAGATGCGGTAGGGAACTGAATCCACACCCTTGAATGATATTCTCTGATGATGACACAATGTCCGACCTAGTAAAATAAAAGAAATATTCCGTAAGCGATGTCTTTGTGGGACCGGGTCGTTTTAAACGGCGACGACCAGGCATGCACGGTTCCCCTCATGGGTAACGACACGACAATCACAACAATGAAATTGGAATAATTTGATAGAAGGAACCACACATTTCGCGACAAACTATGCCGAAATGAAGTTATGAAATAATTAGCTAGTTGGATGAATTTGGCAGCACGCAAACCCTTTATTTGATGGCGAAGAAATGTGTAGATTCCAGGTTGCCTTTATGTATTGAGAAGGTGCATGTCATAAGAACGCGTACACACATTTTGGGGATTAGCTCATACATAAAAGAAGATCAAACCTTTTGTGTGAAGTCATCCTCAACGGTTCAAACACAGGTTGTTTTGTTTCTTTACTCTGTGTATATTGTGCTCACAGTTGCTAAAGTGGCCCATGTGATGGCTCCCCTGACCGTTAATTTGAACACATTTACCACCGAATTAAACATACATTTTAGACGATGTTTTCTAGGTATTACTTTGCTTAACTTTGATTCCCAGAAATAGAAGCACAGGATCACCATCTTAAGAATGCCAAAATATATTGAAACATCATACAAATGTGTGTATCTTAGCTTGAAGCCAAACCTTTTATAGTAATGCGTTAAACAAGCAATAAATCTGAAATTGAAACATCCTTAAGTGGTGCTCTCCCTGCTGAGTCGAACATTCGGATCGACTTTCAACGAGCGGAATCGAATGACAGATCAGGCATCATCTTAAGCTCACTAGAACTACCCTGGTCTTAGTATCAATGAATGCTAATCATCGTGCTCAGTTGCCAAAGTTAGATATCTAAATTCTTGGCTAAAAGTATTTGCATAGCTGATTTGATTTTATCATCTTCTCTCTTTAAAAGGTGACTCTGTCTACAGAAGTTTCATCTGAATAAATAATTGACTAACTACATTAAAATCAACGCAACCTCGCAAAAACTTAGCTACTTTAAATTGATACTAAAATTTTAAACAAGAAGTTTGACGTAGACTTTAATTGAGAGGATGACGTCGTGGCGAACACCGGTGACTCATCGATCGTGGGTACAGTGGCGCGTTAATGGGCCACCTCATAACCCCACCCCTACCAATTTACCATCCGAGCATCACGTGACCTTTGAAGTGACCTGGTTCATGGCCTTCTGAAAGTTGTCATGGCGGCCACTATGTATAAACAAGTGATTTTAAATGTAAGATCCGCTGTACACACGAAATTTATGATAGTTTTTTGTTAAAAGGCATCTTCTGCTCTGACCATCTGTGTCCATTTTAATCACTCAAGCCAAAGATTACAAAGAATTCAAGTTTAAATTCGTGGTAACGAGCAATCAATGATTGCACCCTATGAGTAAGTCGTAGCGCATCGTTTTGCAAAATGAATAGAAAATTTTGATTGTGATGCTCCATCGTCGCTAAATACTTAATGAGAAGCAAAGTAAGTTGAATTTGCACCTGTCTCGCTTTTAAAACTGAACACGGAATTTTTTTCCGTGCAGAGAGTAAAATGAAGATTAATGGTGCATGTCGCAAAAGTGGGTACACAGCTGGACATTTCGAAGCAACGCTTGCGACAACTCTAATGTGCATTCACCAGCGCACGTTCAACCATGTTAACCACAAATGCCATGGGCACGTGGTCCGGCAAACAACTGACTCGCCATCGTTTACGGCCGACTTCCTTGAGCAACCCGATGCTATGCGTAGTGTGGCAAAAGTATTACTTTTCCGTGCAAATAATGGGGCTGAATAGTTTCATAATTGGCGAAATGAATTAACCAAAAGCATAAATGGCGTATCCTGTTTAATTAAATAGTTGCAGCGTTCAAAACACTCTAAAATTCATATACTAAGCACAAATGAGTAGCAATTATTTGTTTCTCCGAAGATCCCTTGTGACAGCTATACTGTTCAGACATATTCCTTAACTAAATTAAAAAAAAACTATAGGAAGAATATATTTTCAATGAATGTATACTTAACTTTTCGACAAAATAAAACGTAAATCAACATCATACAAACCGAATTTTCACAAGCGTCATCATTTCTTCTTTTTCCCTTTCGCCTTAATTTTACTTTTTTTGGAGTTTTACCTCTTCGTGTGTTTGTGTCGGCTTAGCAGAATCCTCATCAAGCGCTGAGTCTCGGGAACCATCAACTTTTCCGTCAGCTACCTGATCAGCTCCTCCTGCTGATTTCTCACGTCTGTCACTTGGAGGCTCGTCAGTCTCGCAGACATCTAATTTGGTAGGCACTTTGGGTTTCTTTTGCTTCGGCTGAGTCGCTTTCATCTTAACTGATTGCCTCCTACTATGCTTTTCTACCTCTTTTGATGTAGCGGTGTTTTTACCTTGCTTCGATGGTTTTGAGGACTTTTCGGCTGACTTGACCTTGCCATTTTTCAACCCTACTGCTGGTTGATCATTCCCAGCGTCTGTTTCTGGTGAGATATTAACCGGTGCTAGTGGCTCTGGTGTAACTTCGCTGGCGAAATCCTCACTGGTTGGATCTGCTGAGGCGGCAGTGGATTTTTTGCGGCTACCACTATTAGGGTGAGAATCAGGCACTTCTGCAAGACTTGCTCTGTTCTCCTTGAGGCATTGGACATTGCTACTAGGTTTCCGACTGGGCAAGCTGATGGTAGAAGCGGGCCTGATTTTAGCACTCGACGTTTCTGACACTTCTTTTGAGCTTGCTTGCTTTGTCTTGTCTTCTTCCATCGTGGCTTCATTTTGATCAATATTGGAAATTCTGGGACTAGATGATTCCCCATTGATCGATTTAGTTGGTGAAGCTGGAAGGCTTCGGTTACATGGTTTCTCTTTCATCTCCACTTGAGGTCCTTTCATATTTGTTGACGTTGTAGTCACACTTTGGCTTCTTTCAATTCTCCCTTTTACAGGGCTAAATACTTTGTTATTCGACTTCAGCGGAGATTCGAAGTTATTTGGATGGTTTGGAGTATTCTCGGACATACTGATTCTTGATTCCTCTTCCTCCTTGGAAAACGCTGTTTCGGCATCTCCTTCTCCGGCAGCAATTAATTCATTCTTGTGTACTTCTTCACTTGTTTTGTCAGAATTCTCTCTGCGATGCTCTGAAGTGATTTTGTCATTTAAACTCGCAGATCTACTGCTCCGTTCTTCCTCTTCTGATGAGCTCCTGCTCGACTGACCTTGACGTCGGGACGTGTGCTTTTC